CCTCTCCTTGAAGTGTGCTTTAATGCAAGTGCCCATGCTGCCATATTTGCAGCAGGATTGTCAGCTCATGTTGGACACCAGTACTTGCTATAGTGGAATGGAAGCAATGCAGGATGCAGAATGGAGCTGAATGAGTGTTAGCATACACAGGCTATATGCTCACTACCCTTCAATGTAGATACTTCATGACAAAGAAAGAACTACTTGCAGTTGTAGGATTCATTAAGCACCACTGACACTGCTTGTACATAAGGAAACTCGCCCTTAGGATAGATTATGCATTATTGAACTGGCTCGTGAATTTTAGAAACATTGAAGAGATGATTGCACATTGGATCACAACATTTCAGGTCTATGGCATGAAAACATGGTAAAGTCTAGAAGTGAAACACAGAAATTCAGATATACTTTCTGCGCAGTGAAACCATGCCACTTTGTTTAATATCTTAACAATGATGCCAAACTGAGATAAAAACATTTAAGCTGTTATGACACAGGGCCATATAGATCTCTGGGAAAAGTAATTAAAACCATAATCAGCATGGTTACTTTTTTACATACAGTAAAGGAACATGTATCCAACATCCAGTACAGGTTGAGGAGCTGAGTGTGAGTACACACAATATGTAGTACTTGTACAAGCAGTCCCAGATGCACAATAGTATGTTATACCAATGGAATGTCATTTACAAATAAAATATACAGTAGCGGGCTGAGAACTGAACCTTGTGGTACGCCTGCTTTAAGCGGAAAAGAATCGGATATGGCATTATTCACTTTAACTTTGGCGGTTCTGTTTGAGAGAAAACTAGATAACCATTTAATTATGGTAGCAGGTACATTATATTTAAACAGTTTGAACTTTAGGGCGTCGTGCCAGACGAAGTTGAAGGCATGTTTGACGTCTAGGAATGTAGCTATTGTCGTGTGTTTGCGATTGAAATCTTGGTATACTGACTCAATTAACCTAACTAGACCATGGTCAGTGGTTTGTTTTTGTTTTATGCTGGCATTCTGAGCATTGTTAAGAATATTACTGGTGAGTAGTAACCAGATAATAGAAACGAATTGTACAGGGCTACTAGGTGATCCGATCTGGAGAGATTCTTGATTATGGAATTATTGACACCGCCTTCTCCAGGAAGGGGAGGTGTGATTAGTGTAATTTTAAGTTCTGTTAAGGAGATGGGGTGGATACCATAGTTGTGCTGGTTTTGACAGTTTACTATATTGACTGGGAATGAAGGCGTGTCATTTGTGATAACATGATTAGTGATGAAATTATAATGTTGACTGTCAAAGGAGAATTGATTAGGTGTGTTCAATGAATTCGTTTAATATTCTGCAAAGAGTTTGACTTTACCATGATCTGTGTGTTGTTGTAACTAATATTGGTTGAGAGAATGTTTGTGTTGTTGTTGCGTACTTTTTTTAATTTGCGCCAGAAATGTACGGGGTTGGATTTTGCTTCGTCCATTTATGTGCAAAACGTGTTCCAATTGTTCTTTTGTTGAATTTTGACGAGTTTTCTTACTTGATTATTTGATTATTAATAGCTGGTTTAAGGGTGTATTCTGATAAATAGACGTCGAGGTCTCTTTCTTTTTAGAATTATGTTATGTATTTCTGGAGTAAGATTCGGGGTGATTGTTTTACTGAGGACTCAATCTTTGATGGCTTGTAGTATAGTGACTATAATTAGGGCTCCTCGATTATCAATGTCTGACTTGCTGGACGCAGTATTGAGAATAGGGACACAGTTTTCCTTATATGGTATGTCAAGGTCGTCGCGAGAACGAAGTTGAGCATTTTGACGAGTAAACAAAGCAAATTATCTTCGTTCATTCTACCCCTAACTAATACACAGGTCATTAGGAGGTTAAATACACATACAAATATAACACACTACATTCAGTGGTAAGGCTTAATAGTGAACTTGTGTCTTTTAATTGGAAAATGTTAGATCGTCAAAAAATTAATGTCGCTTTTTTTAGATGAAACAAAATCTGAACAATTTATATATCAAACAAAACATTTCGCTTAAAGCTACACGAGGGCTATCTGCACTAGTCGTCCCTAATTTAGCAGTGTAAAACTAGAGGGAAGGCTGCTAGTCATTACCACCCACCGCCATCTCTTGGGCTACTCTTTTACCAATGAATAGTGGGATTGATCATCACATTATAACGCCCCCACGGCTGAGAGGGCGAGAATGTTTGGTGTGACGGGGATTCGAACCCGCGACCCAAAGATTACTGAAGCAGTTGCTTCAGTAGCCTTCATTTTGTCTAGTTCCTCCAAATTCTGGTCAGTTTCTAATCACCAAGTCAAATATTGGTGTCTTCATATACATGGCCTCAAGGTCTCCTATAAAATATGGAGTATCCACCTTTATTTTTGATATGGGAAACTTTCCCATCAATAAGCACACATAGGCATACCTTGTTTGTCATCTGGTTATCAAATACTAGACTGGTTCTTACTGCTGCACTACTGCACCCAGTGTCTCGTAAGACTTTCACTTTCTTGTCCCTGACATATCCTTCACCTACTGGCATATTGTAATTTGTAGGTATCTCTCAATGTCTGTAGCATGCTCCAATCACTTCTAGCACTGTTGAGCCGACCATTAGTTGTGCACTGATCAATCATGGAAATGGCACTTTCTTCTTATGCTGAATTTGAAATGTATTCTTGGTTACATTTCTCCTGGCAGCAGCCTCCATGGCGACAGTCACTCTTTTCTTGCTTCTTACCAGCACTATATTTTTAAGTAGCTCCAGCTGCTTTATGTTGACATTTCTGTGGCTGCTTGTTAGTGACAGACTTGCACTTTCTCACAAGATGCCCCACTTTATAACAAGGATAGCATCTCTTCTTCCTTTTGTCTATTGAGTTCTTGTCATCTTTGGTGGTATCCTGTTTCTTTTCAGCCACCCTTGTTTAACCTTAACTGGTTATTCTTGGACTTTCTACTAAAACTCCCTTCATGGGCTTCCATATACTTTTCTACCAGCTTGATCAACTCCTCCACATCTTTTGGTGTCCTCTCCTTTAGGAACAGTGATATGTCAGTTGAGCACGTGATCATGAACTGTTCATGTATTAGTAGATCTGTCAGTCCCTCACAACTATTTTCACACTTGGCCATGTCAGTCCATCTTGTGAAGCATTGCCATATACATGCCACAAAGTGAAATACAGTTTCTCCAGTGTCAAGTTTGACTTCTCTAAACTTCCAATGAAAACCTTCTTCTGCAAGTTGATATCAATTTAGCAAGGCCACTTTTAATCTGTCATAGTCCATGGCATTTTCTGATGTCTTGCCTGCATACACTTGTAGGTCTTTTTCTGTTAGAAGTAAGCTGAAAAAGACTGCCTAGTCGCCTTTGTCACAGTTCTGGTATTGGGTGAATCTTTCATATCTCTTCAGGAAAGCATTCATGTCATCTTTCTGTTCATTAAATTTGGGCAGCTTGGGTCAGCTGGCCCTGACTCCATTGTCATTCTTGTGTCCTTCTTATTTCTGTTGGGTGAGCTTAGTGATTTCAATTTGTGCTCTTATTCTCTGTATTCCAGTTTCTCTCCATCTCAACTTGTATTTCTATTTTCTCTAATTGCAGCCTTTCTTTTCTCTCATTTTCTTTTTTCTCCTTTTAGTCTTTCTTCCTCTCTTCTCTCTCTTCTGTGCCATTCTTCTCTCTCTAGTTATTGTTTTTGTTTAACAAACTCGTGTAGTTCATTGTCTTTTAATCAAAGACACTTACCTCTTTTTATCCATTTATCAAAATCTGTTGACATTGTTATATAGCATTATTGTAATCTCTATACCATTTTTGCCACCACTACAGTCGTGCATATATAAGCCTACTTATTCCCACTTTTATTCAAGTCTTCTTTCACCACCGTCTACCACTGTATAATCCTGGCTGGCTTGCCAAATGTCAGGTTTTATGTATATGAGTGGACTGAGGATTCTTATATAATAGGTTTCTGTGTCTTATTTGCGATAAATTCCAACAATAGATGGACAGCAGACAATCCACTTGTTTTAAAATAATAAATATTCAAAACAAGCCAAATGTATGTACAAAAACTCTTTATACTATAGGATATCACAGTTGTATCTAAAACTCTAAGTAGTTCTCTTTTCTTGTCAAAAGCCCAACTATTTTTTCTCTAATCTTATCACAATAGCATCAGTTAATAATTCACTTATGCTACCCCGTGGGTTACCACAGTTGTATCCTTAACTTCAAAATAATTGTCTCGTTTTCGTCAAAGTCCACACAGAGGGGTTCAATTACTTTAAAACATCATATGACAAGACAAATCATTCTCCTTATCTCCATTAAGCTGTAAAACTCACTTTAAAATATCGTCTTTATGACTAATCACTCATACCCTTCTAACTTCACGTTTTCTAACTTTTTTCTGTCTGAACTTTTACTTTACCTCTTAACTTGTGCTTGCTTGGTCGCCTACATTTATACATTATTCACCGAGGCCTTGAACTTTCTCTAAACTACGTGACGTGATGAGTTAACAATACTCAGTTAAGGTAACGAGAAAAATACCGAAGATTCGAGTAAAGTGACGTCAACAGTATTAGTAAAGCCTAGACAACAGTGTAATTGCAAACACAGTTAGAACTCTTACCGAGTAACGCGACCAAATATGTCACAACTATCGCCTTTAAATTAATTACTTTTAATTCTCTTATGAAAAGTAAATAATCGTTAAATATTAAATCACCAAATAAACTAAATAATAACTAATAAACTAAACAGTCTTGTATATCCAACAGATTTTAAGATTTTTTTCCTGACTGGCTGAAGCCTAATGAACATTTATTTTTGTAAACAATGGTCGCCAGATGTTAGCTTTATATAACAATATTAACAAAATTTCTGATAAAATCGAGAAAATACTAAAGCAATATTTACTAAATTATCCATCATGTCAAACTTTTATGGTTTATTGAAATCATTTTTCATACAAGAATAAATCATGTTATATGTCTAAGAAATATCAAACTTCACAGTGTTATATTTGTTGTTTTCGTTGGCATCCAGTCAGACACATTTATTCCCAATGTGTTTTGATAAAGCAAACGAAGATTTAAATCAGGGTGATACAAATGATATTTGTACATGTGTTCTACTTTTGGGAATTTCCGTTGGACGGTCTTAGTGTTCCATGCCAGCACCTAAGAATAAAAAACACCGAAAGATATTTTATAAGTGCCAGTTTGAATATTCTATCTGTTGTATGGTTCTTTATTTAAATGATATAACCAATATAACCATTCAATGAAAGAGAGAAACATAATCGCAGAGTTAAAATATCTTAGAAAAAGTAGGACAGCATTTTGTTTTCATTTCCGAAAAAAGTTCTTTGTACTTTTTTTGCACAAATTTAACTTCCCAAAGCTTTAAACTCGACAGTAGCTTTTCTTTTTCTGCCTTCTATTTACACAGTAGTTTGCAATAACCAGAGGAATTTACAATCTAGAACCGATTAAAAACACTAGAAGTTTTAGGAATGGAAGAACAGGGCACATTATAACAATTGGCCTTAAAAGATCAAGTACGTTCTTGAAGTAGCCTGAATAGCTAAATGGTTTTATGGTTCATTATGAATTTCGCGCAAAGCTACAGGAGGGCTATCTGCGCTAGCCGTCCCTAATTTAGCAGTGTAAGATTAGAGGGAAGGCAGCTGGTCATCACCACCCACCGCCAACTCTTGGGCTACTCTTGTACCAACTAATAGTGGGATTTACCGTCACATTATAACGCTGAAAGTACGAGCATGTTTGGTGTGACGGGGATTTGAACCCGCGACCCACAGATTGCGAGTCGAGCTCCCTGACCACCTGGTCATGCCGGGCCCGAATAGCTAAATCACAGGCGAAGAATGAAGCTTTGTTAATTAGATTGTTCAGTTAAAAGACACCTACTAGCAAAAACTAACAGAGTAAAAATGTAATCGGAAAATTCCTTAGATTTGCGAGCCGTTCCTAATTTTGAACTAGAGGGAAGGAAGCTAATCAACACCACCCACCACCAATTTTTAGGCTGCTCTTTAACAACAAATAGTGGATTTAACTACAACATTATAACGTCCCTACGGCTGAAATGGTGAGCGTATTCGGTTATGGGATTCGAACTCGTGACCAGCAGCTTGCGAATCGATCGCTCTAACTATCAGGCCATGTGAGGGCCTAAACAAAACGCTAAAAAGGTGCGGAAAAGAGAAAAATAAAATAGAGTTGTTTTTTTTTAACTTTTTTTTTTGAAAACTCAAGACCAATGCTTAACTTACCTGTGTACAGTTGTTAGCTTTAACCTCCAAATCATCTAAGTCAATATTTAGGGTTTGTAGAAAATAATCTTCATCAAAGTTTCTGACCATGGAAGTAACTGTTTTTGAGTGTTGCAACAAAAACTCAATATTTACAGCAAATCCTGTCCATCTCATAGCAAACTTTTTTGCCTGACTACGTCCATCATGGAATCCAACTACTTTAGAATTTTTAACGATAGGGGTGCTAACTGACAAAGGCTGAACTAATCCCACTGGCCAAACACTAACTTTTCTTGTGTATCTCATCTGTTTAAAAAAAAAGGAAAAAATAGAAAACCATGTCTTTTTTATGTAATATGTATTTATGATTAATGCAAAGATAAATACAAATTAGAAATAAAATCATACTTTTTAAGGACCAAAACCATTTGATGTTTGTTTAAGAACAATGAAAATAATCAAGTTATCTCCCCAGAATGTTCTAGTTTTGTTTTTACGATCATCTGCTCAAATCCTTATGATGTTATAAATATTCAATAACACTGGATAAATTATAGCTTTTCAACTTACGAAGCGACTGTTTCTAGTGTAACAAATAAGTTATACACTTATATAAGTTAAGTCTGACGATTTTTTTTTTGTATTGAAACATAGTTATTACAATTTTATTATCGAACATTCTGACGATATGATAGTACTTGAAACCCTGAAATAATCACCAAATCCCTGAGTTACTTTCTTCACAGAAACCTAGTGCAATAAAAGCTTCATTCTACAATCCAAATTGTAACGAATTTGTTGTTATATATTTATTTTAATATCAACG